CGGGTGCGTTCCGCTGCCGGGCGGACTGGCGTCCTCTCTTTGGCATCTCATTCTTGTGAGGGGACCCGTGTCTGAGTACCGCAGGACAGTTCTGGAGCGCGTATTTTCCCAGTGCTTTCCGTCATGAAAGCTGAGTCAGGGTGCTCGTACGGTTACTTTTAATACGTATGATCCCTTTTAATTGCACTTTTTGTAGACTTATTTTTGCATGTTTCCTTTTTCTGGTACATTACATTATTTTCTTCTCTTTCTAATTTCTTAAACATAATTTTATTATTGACTCCTGGATTTCGTTTTTCTAAAGCACTTTTAGTCCTTCCAATTTTTGCCTCCGTGTTTCCCCAGGCCCTGTTGGGGACGCGTGATGACTTGCTGCACATCGAGCTTCAGCGCCCTCCTTCCGGGGTCGCGTGAAGACTTTTGAGCTGGCACTTTAATGCCAGATAAAGATCCGTACAGGAGACAAAGGGAAATAATTCTGAAACGAGCAAGAGAAAGAGGTCCCTTTTTGGGAAACAGGAATGAGTTTTACGTGTTTGTTCCTATGCGTTAGTGCTTTTTTACATATTTGAAGGACTCCTCCCAAGCAGTAGTGTAGGTGTGAGCTTTGTGTTTATCTTCTATTCAGACACTTAGTTGAAGATGAAACTGATGAAGTGCTTTGCATCTTTCTGTACTTCAACCTTCTTTAATAATCCTATGATTAAAAGCATTTATTCTGCTGTAGTGTTGAAGGTATTAAGATAACATTGTTGCTCTTAAGTTATAATGCTTGATGAAAACTGAGTGGTGCTAGAGTGATACTGTAAAATGGTTGGAAACTAATTTCTATAACAAAAAGTTATAGAAAAGCAATGCCACGTAGTACCATGTTTTGTATTTTTCTGCTTAGTTGATCAAGTTGTCATGTGTAGCTTCATTATTGATATGTTTCTCACTTATCTCTTAGGTTTACAAAAGATACTGCCAGGTTCAAGGATGAATTAGATATTATGAAGTTCATTTGCAAAGATTTTTGGACAACTGTATTCAAAAAGCAAATAGATAACCTAAGGACTAATCATCAGGTACTAATGCTGTATAGTAAGATTTAACTTACAAAATCAGTAACACTGTTTTGAGTTACTAGTGCATTTTTTGCTTGTCTTGGTTTAGAATTAATTATCTGATCAGAAACCTAAAATATTCTTTATTTATATGTTTTGTGTAAAGAGCAGGTTTTAAAGGTTCATGTTAGCATGTAGTTTCAGAATACAATTTATAATTGTTTGTGATGTCTTTAGTGCCACCCTGTTTGAAAAAACTAAATGCTTTGAATTTCATATGCACTGTTGTAGAGTTGCAAACTGACAGGACAGTAAGGGTTACAGTTGATTAATACTTAAACAGGAACTTTGTTAGTACAAAAGTAGTGTGAGGAAGTGATATTGCTGCGTTAGCATCTGTCTAAACAGAATGGCTGCCTTGAAGTAATTTTTTATTTTGAAAAATGTTAACAGCAGTTATTTATTAATTCAGTAGTTGAGACAGTTACACTCTAGTGGACATACTTGTATACGAAACAGCTGAAAAACTTCCCAAAATTTCCATGTTGGTGATACTACATTGTATCTATGTCCTTTACTATATCAACAGACAAACTCTTTAAAGAAAGATCAAAATAATTTAAGGAGACATTTTACTAGAGAAAAAAAATCTTTATTGTTTTGAATAACTTGGTGTTCTTGTGGCCGTTTTCCTGTTGTATCCAAGTAGGGACAAGATAAATTGTACAAGTATTGTGTCAAATAAAATAGGTTTGATTTTTCAGTGAGCCCTTTATCAAGCAATAACTTTAATGAATAATAATTATCTTAGAATTTTTTTTTTAATTCAAAGAAAGTTGCAGTATTGAGCTTAGGTCTCAATTGTATATGCAGCCTTAATTTCATTTCTAGGGTTATGAAGTTTCAAAGCAGCAGAGCCATTATCAGAGAAATGAAAATGACAGTGTTCATACTTAATAAATTAAAATGCATATTGTGGCACAGATTGTAATGTGGAAACACTATAATTTTAATTTAATAATCTACTGGGTGTGTTTGTCTGTATCTCTGTTAAAGAGGATAATTCTCACTGAAGTGGAGAGTTAAGAATACCAATTTAAGATTTGAATGTAAAAATCAGCATGTGTTTGGTATATTAACAAAGACTGTCTAAAATAGAGCTGTTGTCTAAGCGCACTGGAAGGACTCTTTCAAGAAGAATGTAAATAAATATTTTTTTAGGATTAACTGATCATATTATCATCTAGGTGTTTTGTTATAAATTCACAATTAGGTATCCTTTCTTTTGTTTTTATATTTCATGTAAGCAAACAATAGTTTAAATTTAAATTGCATGTGCCTTAATCTAATTTTTCCTTCTTCAACCTGAAAATATTGTATCTACAAATCAAATCCCTTCATATAAAGTGTTGATTACATGTTACTGAGTACTCTACTAATTTTTTTTTAACAGGGTATTTATGTCCTTCAAGACAATAAATTTCGCCTCTTGACACAAATGTCTGCAGGAAAACAGTATTTAGAACATGCACCAAAGGTACACTTATGTTTTGTGCTTGGGATCTACCAGTTTGATTTGAATTATCTTGATCTATTAATAATAGTTTTAAATTTTGTAATTGAATGGATGCAGACTCTCCAAAAGGGTAGATAAAATTTAGTTTCCCAAACCTGTTTTTTGGAAATGCACCTTGTTTCAGATCAGTGGATTTGATTTGTGGTTCAACAAAAATTGCCATGAAATTTGCTGTTGTCATGTTTGAATGACGTGATGGCAGGATCTGGTCTGTCACTGTCTGCCACTGTCACACAAATTCTTTCTTTCTCTTTGGAAAGCACATGCCCTTGGGAGCTTTTTATAAATTTCCAAAACATATTTGGAAGATGCTGTTTCTTACCTAGAACAAGCATCTGAGATTGTGTGAACGTTCAGAAAGATATTCCATGAATTAAAAATAATATTGACTGTAGATACTGCGTTAGAATAGTAGTTTAGGTAAGTAAAATCAGTGCAAAGTAAAAGCACTTTGGTTCAAGTGGATGTAAGAAATGGGACATTCAGTTCCATTTTATGGTTTCTTAGTTCTTGATCTTCTTAGTCATCACAGTTGCTGACTACTATCCTTGGGATTTTTTTTTGGTGTTTGGTGGGATGTTTCATCTGTTTTGTAGCATATATTCTGAATATCTGCAGGCATCTTTATCCCTTGTATTCTAAGATGCGGCCTGTGCAAGAATGCTATCTTGGACTGTTTCTCCCCTGTGGACTTTAATACTGGTTGTTATTTTCAGCCGAGTCTTGGGAATACTTGTTTCAAGGGTATTAAGTTCCTAGAGGTTTAATGGAAATAGGTAGCAACAAGTGACTCAAGATAGCACCTCTAACAAGAGAAATCTGCATTGTGAGCTCTGCTGTATCAAGTGTTGGAGCTTCCATCTGTTACAGACATGACAAGGTCTCTCAAGCACAGTGACAAAACCTCCATAGTTTTATATTGTCCAAGTGTTAAGTCTTGCTCTTGAGCACTTAGTCTCAGTCTCTAGCAACAAGCTTCACCCTTGATGCTTTTTTAAAATGCAACTTTATGTTTAGTATTTAGCATTTACCTGTGGACTAATCAGAGGAGGCCTATTGAATTTGGGAATAAAGAGTATTGTAACAGCTGAAGTTTCATCAATGCCTGCATGTAAGTAATTCACAAAGTATTCAATTATTAGCTCACTTGGTAACTTTCCTTACTGGGTTCATCACTGTGTAAGCATTTAACAAGGTGGGATTAGTTTGAAGCTGCTGGGCCGTAGGACTCAGTATGAACTTCAGGATATGGCTTGTCACTAAATGCTTTAGTGTTTAGAAAACACTGACAGAGGGTGAACCTCCATAACATTGAGTGGGAAGCAAAACTAAAAAGTTGTATTTACGTTTGGAAGCATCAGGGATGTATGTTCAGAAGGCCATTTGAACTAGTGAAGATACAAACAACTAGATATGTGCTCTTTCTCTACAGAAATAATGAAAGTTAGTAAGTGAAGCCCATTGTAACTGCCCAGGCTGCTTAAGGTAGATAAAATTTCCAGAGACTGCACAGATTTTAAATTTAGCTGCCAAAATTGTTGTGATGGATCAACTAAAAAAAAAAAAAGAAGAAAAAGAAGCTGTGCAGTTGGAGATAAATTTAAATGCTAAATTTAAATAATGGTTAGATTGTTCACAAACTGTAATATTGAAATGTTCCTTACTATTTCTTTTAACAAAATGATTACAATAAAATAATCACTTGGAGAAATAACTAATGGTGATACTTTGATCTGACTTTGCTTTTTCTTTGCAGGTAAATTTCAGGTGATGATACAGAAGATGTAGAGCAGATTCAAATCTGGGTATCTATGTTAAAAATCCTTTGTGTGTGGATTGAGTATCTTGGTTCAGCTTTGTATGTAGCTTGTAAATTATAGCATTGTGCAGCACAATTCAAAATATGTAATAAATATTCATCAAAATAACGCTATTCTTGTATCTTGGTATGAACTTTATTCTTTAACAAGGTATTAATATCCACATGGTAAAAACTGCCTATTCAGAAGTTTTTAACATAAGAGTTAAATTACCAAACAGCACATACGGAAGACCAGAGGCCATTTTGAGAATGGAGTAAAAGCCTAAGCAAGACTGAATTTGAATAAGAAACTAGCGTGTTCTCTGTCACCTAACATGAATGCCAAAATGCTGCCTTTCCTTATTCCCTCTGAACTATGAGGCAGTAATTGCTTTTGTCATATTCTGAGGAAGCCATTGTCACATGAACCAAGTGTCTTCATTAAAGGTGTTAAGTTGGAGGCTTAATTCATTTATAGGAAAGATATGAGCAGGAAAGATACGAGCCAGTAGAAGAAAAGAACTTATTTCTATACACAGTTAAACAGTATCTCCTGCTTCCTTAAAATTAGCAGCTGGGGTTTTTTTGTGTTAGAATAATTTTACAGCTAAGGTCATCTACTACTGACCAGAGAAGGAAATTTGCTTTAACTTGTTGTGCATAAATTCAGTATTAACAAAGTGTTTTTAATTGCTAGTTACAACTCACTTCTGTAATGAGCGTGTGCAGGAAGATGATCAGGCCTGCAAGAAGCCGTAAAGTCATCACCAAGACTCTTGAGGCTATTGGGGTTTGCTAGATACTTGTTACCAGATTTGCATAACAATACGTATCTTGCTGTAGGTAAGCATTAAACCATCTTGTTAAAACTTTTAATGAACTTTGCTGTCAGACTTTTCTTTTAGGAGGTTCAGGCCTTATACTTTCAGATGAATCACACTTGAAAATTATGGTGTTTATTCAGAAATATGAGAATGCCTTGTGATAGTGACTCAGTTTCTGCTTTGAGACCAGGAAATAAATAACAGGCTGACTAGAAAAGCTAACATGGAAAAGAGCACCTTTGATTGTTCTAACTACCTTCTGTGTTGGGAGAGTTTTATGTTGTCCAGTTCATAGTGGGCAAGAACAGTGGAAGCTGTTCTTCCCTAAGCTATAAGGAAGGTCTATAGTTCATAATGCAACAAGCCTTTTCTAGATGGCTGTTACAAGCTGTCGAGCTGTAGATGATAAATGGGATAACCAGGGGTTTATTATACTTGAGCTTAAGATGTGACCAAATTCTCATCTTTTCAGGTACTGTGAATGCTAGTTCAGATTAGTTGCAGGTGCATAACTTGACAGTTCTAGGCAACACCTAGAGCACAACTTGAACTAGTAGCGTGCTGTACCACTGTTTATAGAACTAGCAAAGATAAAGTAACTGCAGTAGTATGCTACTCAGTGGGGATCAGCTGTTCAACTGATGGAAAATGCTGGGCTCTTACACTGGTAGTTTATGGGTTTACGGCTCTGGCTGTTATCCACCATTGTAACTCAGATTTGTTTGAAATTGTAGGGCTAGAGAATTAACTAACTTGCTGAGTGCATTTCACAGTTCTTCAGTTGCCAACTCATCCTGCTTTTAAGATGCTTAAAAGATTACTAAAGAGACTAGGAATAACTTGCACTGTATGTGTAATAGGTAGACATTTCGGGGTTACATTTTAGGCATCTGCAGACAGTATCAACATACAGAATCATTTTGTTACTTCCCTCTCCAGAATTAAAACTCCAGTAGCTATTCACTTTAATTTTTCACTTGACAGTTATGACTGCTATTCCAGATGCAGAAGTGCCAATCATTCCAAGATATATTGAATGTTTATCAATAACTGGTTGTGCTTAGTGATTTACTTTTTTTTAAATAGTGAGGGACTAAAATTCTGCCATACACAGAAAGCAGATGTCAGTCAATATTGTATCAGTTTGCTGCTAGCAGCAGAATTCATTGTTCCTTGAACATGGATTGTTAATTTTTGAAAACAATTAGGATGAGAGGGAGTCATGTATGTACCAGACAGATGCTGCTACTCTTGGTGAAGCACTCCACATTAAATATATGAATAACATATTTGTCAAGATATCATACAGAAAATAAATTTGTTCATTCTGTTTATTTAATAAATGCTTCTGTTAAAAGCATTCAATACAGCTGTGTAATTTTTAGTGGTTTCTGCAACTGTTTACTGAAAAATAGTATTCCTACTTCAGAAATAGTAATATTTATGTTTTACTAAAATAATTGTTTTAGTAACTTGCATATTCAGTTGTAGTTGTGTAGGTTTCTATAGGAATGCTGCTGTTAAATACTATGAAGAATGAGAAAAGCCACAATATTTAAGAACACTCTTTAAAATGGTTGTTTTATTTTTAAAAAAGCCCTCAACAGGTGTGTGTTAGATAAAGAACAGTAATTTGTAATGTAACCCTACACTTTACCTAATAGCAGTGTCCCCAAGATTAATCAGACATTGGGAATTTCTATCCAAAAATGTAGTCTACAGAGACAGTAGCTTGAGAGATGATGCCAGACACTTCTTTGACTGTTTTACAATGATAGTGATGATATTGGAGACACGGACAATCTCATGCTAAAGCTCTGCTTAAGTTATTCATAGATGTCCCAAATGCATTATCTGGAGGGTGTTCTGAAGGGGTTGTATCGTACTTCAGGTCTGAACGGTGCAGTCTCTTGCTGTTGACTCTGACAATGCTGTTTGTACTATGGCAATGCAAAATACTTGATATTATCAGAACAGTCTATGAAGGCTCATCAGCCAAGTCGCGTTGATCGAAGTACCTAGTGGAGAGAAGTGAAATACAGTAAGAAACCTGTAATGCAACATACTCCTTACTTTGACCTCTGTCTTTCTAGCTTTTCTTTTAGTGTTTCTATCATCTTTACAGCTTTGCAGTTCAGAGTGCAGTAAGTTTACACTTAGTTAAAAGGACAAAAGATAACCCTAAGTATATTTGCTACATAGGCCCAGGGTACTTCAATTGACTTCCACTTTAAAAGAATCTAGGTTAGAATAAGAGTAATCACACATTTATTCCAGACATACTTCACTGTTTCGGATAGGTAAGCTGCATTACCTGCTAACTAAGCAGATTATCAAGTTCAGAGCTGATATCTGTTCTCCATTTTTGTTCTCCTGAAAGAAAAATAAATTAGAACAGTTCTTGTTACCAGTGTCCAATAGAAAAGTTGTTACATGTCATGTTACATGGTTGTACTCTTCCCCTTCATTCTCAAACGAACTTAGGACATGAAAAATTACTTACCAAGACTTCAAGAACTTAAAAATCATCCTCCTAATAATTTGCTAAGTTCAGCAAGTCCTTTGCACGATGTTATTTTAAATCTTACCTCTAGTACTCTGACTTCTGAGCATCGTCTTGCCAGCTGTCGAATAAGGGAGTGAGCTTCAGGTAGCAAAGGTTTTTCAAGGCATGCCAACAGTGCATAAAGCCACCTACCCTGTGTGGATTCAAATAACAGTTTTAATTCAGAGCATTTCCTTGAAGTTTCATGAAGTTCTAGTTATGTAGAGCAGGCCTGGAGTGTAGGTCTCAAAACAAAATTGCATTTAAGTGCTACTGCCAGAATTGAAAAGTTAGAAAGCCAAATAAGACACTACACAGTAGAATTTTGTGCCTCTAGATAAGCTTCTTGTGAGCAGTACTTCTGAAGTTCCTGATATTTTTTGTAGTACTGGCCAAGATATAAATTAATACAGCTTACCCTACTGAAGTCTGAAGGAAGGATTATTTTAGTAATATCTAAAGATTACTACTTAGCTATTAATTTTTAACTTAACAAACTGTGGAAAAACATTGCTGAAGAGTGAATGTATCAAGTGAGATCTTTGTGGAATTAATGCTGTTAGGTCAGCTTCAAGATGTGCACCACTGTGAAAATGTGCCCTTTGCATTTTATTTAACTGAATTCTACTGCATTCTTAAAAACGTAACTTCTGCTACCAGTCTTAACTTCTTAATTTAGTTCCAGTGTGGAATGGCTTTCATTATGGGAATAAACTGAAAGTCAATGTGCATGTTCTCTGCAGCATTATCAGTGAAAAAGAAAATAGTCCTACAGAAAAGGACAGAACATGAAAGGCCTTGAAGTGACTCAAAAACAGTGAAACTGTTTAATATTATGGAAGAAATTTTTCATTATTTTGCTTTGTGGTACTGAGTGAGAGGAGATGCACCCACCAAGGTCCTCTGTAGAAGGGATGCCATTATGTTGCTAGCCAGTCTAGTTGTGGCCAAACTCCATGCTAATATACCTGTCAATCAGAATTTCTTATTAGGTTTGATTTGTCACTACACTAATGCAGCTAAGCTTTTTGGTCTGTGCTGTGCGTGGAAAGATTAAACATGTCTTTGCCAGCATGCTGTCGTGCATCTCCAAACTAAAATGGAAGCATTGGTAAACACGGCGAGCAGCACCCTGACAGCTTAAACTGGCCACAACTAAACTGCTGCAGTCTGACCCTCTTTGCTCCCCAGCATGGATACTCATGTAAGCTTGTGGTTTAAGTCAGTGTGGGGAGCAATAAAAAGGGGAGGGGGTCTTAGCAGTACTTGATAGATCTGTATCTGTTATGTTTTGTAATTAGCCTTCCAAAAAGTTCTGTGAATACTCATTTTAGTATCTAATCAAGAAGGTTTCGAAAGTAACTGAATGTGATACATGCATCTAGAGAATTATTTAGAAACTAAAATTTTATAGAAAACTATGAACAATTTATCCCTCTTTTGATGTGTTCATGTGCAAGTAGTTAGAATAAACTAAAAATTACCAGTTCTGGAGTAAATTTTTTCTCTCCAAACCAACTTATCAGGTATTCTAAGACACTGGTTACTGTTGCCTTCAAAAAAAGAAAAAGAAAAAAACAATACAATACCTGCAATGTTTTGTTTTGCTATCCTTCTACCTGAAGGATTATATAAAAAGCATATGATTTTTAAAAAATATACGCATTATGTGTTTCTACTCCACTGTGATACTATGTGATATTTATTCTAGGTTGAAGTTACATATAAGGGTACAATAGGTGTTAAAGCACCAGTTCC